TATCTTTCCTTAACGGCCCTTGTTCTTCCTTTTCTTCGCTAGAAAGCATTACTTTTTGTTTTTGATTGTTTTTTTTTGGGTTCAAAATTTGTTTTTTGGTTATGTGAACGCGCAAACACAAGTAAATTAGTTAGCACAATATTTTCATATAAACAATAAGCCACGATACCCTTTATATGATTAAGAATGACCCAAAATGCAATTTTTTATGATCGACTTGTCCCCCCCCCACCCACCCCCCAAGCACGTCTCCAGGCTGTCTGTCCTTATCTCAAATACTAGTAATAACTTATTTGCTACTTGAACAGCAATTTAGCAAAATTTTAATATTGAAATGACAATTATCAGAACAATAAGACAAAAGAGTTACAGTAATAATACAAATTCTTTGTTTATTTCTTTTTTTTGGGTAAAATGTTAAGATAATTCTTTGTTTATTTGGAAGTAGAGGGGAGCACTATAGATTTCTTCATAACCATTGACTTTTGAATTTGGTTATATTGCGCCTACCTTCAATATGTTTTCCATGAATTGTGAATTTCGCATATATATATATACTTGTTCATTTGATATCCTTTGTTCATGATTCCATATCCGTTTTTCACGCATTCGAAATTCTATAAGAACTAAATTCTAAATCAAGATGGCAAGTATAACAAGTTTAAAGGTTAAACTCTAGAATCCTCTAGATAAAAGCCTGAATGAAATCTACCAGAAAGAATAATTCTCTAAAATAATTTAAAATTTATTATTGTTCGAGATATATTTGTTTTCTTAACTTATGTGAATCTTGTAATACAACGTGTATATAGTATAAGCGAATCTCTTAACCACCAATTGTATATTTGGTCCACTGGGTCGACCCTAGTTTAAGATTTGGACATAATCTACAATGCCATCGACATAACCTACAATAACTGGACGTGCATGTGATCAATTCGTGGAGAGTGAATTGAAATTAAAATTGAGTGGTTAGAAGTGCATGCAAAGTACCACCGAGAAGCAAAGCATAGAGGCTAGAGCGTGTGTTTGTATCATTCTCTCTCTCTTGGTTTATAAGTGATGTTTTAGGTTACTGTACACCACTTAAGAAATCATTGAATTTTTATTGTTTTATTAAGCAAAACATCAAATATTATCTATCTAAACACAATTCAACCAATAGAGAAACAATCTACATTTTTTTTTCACAAAGACACTTCAATATTGATCACATAAATACATTTTCGGTATCCTAAACCAATAAGAGACGGAAGAAAGAAAATAGTGTTCCTAATTCGTGCTCAAAGCATCATTTAAATCAAACAGAGAGTATTGAATAACCTGCTGCAAAGAAATTGACATATCATTTGACA